TTGTTATTTGTTCATCACAAGAGAATCAGACAGGAAACGGCACTTAACGATTCAGTTACAGAGGCGTGCTGGACATCTTTCCTGCAACACGTTCCCAAAGCGTAGTTTGAACCTACAGTAGGATTCTCAAACAATCAATAGCGAATGCATGAAATTATTATTATCTGGTTCTAATATTTGTTTTGTTTTCTACATGGCCAGTAGCTTTTAAAATTTTAAGGACTATATTCTGTGCACCCTGTGTTATGGGTATTAGAAACATCAGTGGTGACAGACGCAGTCTGCAAATCCGGGAGCGTGCACAAGTCCTTCTCTCATAATTCAATTAATCCTGCTGTAGTCGTATAGGCCAAGAGTACCAGTGAGCCACCAGTGCAAATAAAGATCAAGTCCAGCTTCGTGTGGTCCTGTTCCTACCCTGTTACATTACGCTTGTTTGACTCTTACTAAAATGATCATATAAAGCCAGACTCGTGAGCACACATGTAGAAACCGAAATATAAACAGCGGAAACCAAAACCATCTAAAGGCTGCTTGACAAACTAGTATTCGTACTTGAACAAGCGTCACTGCAATCGGATGAAATACTGCAATAATAGAGTATTAACAGAGGAAATCGGCGGACCTAGAATATAAATTATCTGGGGAAAAATACAGAAAGACACACGCTGGCTCGTCCACTTATTACCAAATTTCGACCTAACTGTCCAGATACATGTACTCCCGCTTTAGTGCTTCACATGGTGATTTTACCGTGATAACAGGTCACGTTATTTTCTATTTTATAATGCACACAATAAAAGCCATTAGTTGCTTTTCGTATAATGGCTATATTAAACATTTTTTCGTTTCTTCTACTTCAGCGACCCTGAAGCGCCAAGCAGCTAAACACACATCGACCACGAAGCGTTTACGTTACCTGAAACCACAAGGGCCTCGTTTGGTCCAACGGTATGACAGTTCCCCATTTCAGCAGCAGAAAAAACGTGTATCCACACCTTTTCGACGCATACAAAACTCACTTATTTTTTTTAAAACACCTTTTGCTCCTTTTTCCCACTATCTATAAAATATTTCTCTCACGCCCCTACCGACGATTCCTTTTTTCTTTTTTCAAAATGGAGATTTTTGCTTTGTAGTTGCGTCACTCTATACTTAATGAGACACACTACTTCCGCTGATAAATATTTCAAAATAAAGTCATGTTGCCAAAGCTGTGTGGTGAATACCGGTTTAAATTAGCCGTTTGGTTTTATTTTGAATATTACTTTGCTCTACTTATGTGCTTGTTTTGCGGCCACTTGACTCACGTGACCACAGCTCTCCCTGCCTTCTTTCGGGGCCCCTCCTCTCCGGATCATAAGTTTAAATGTCTTCTCACGCAAATAACCAAAACAACACTCGCTGTAATTTGCAAGAAACACTCATACTGAGTGACCATGTCACATGATATCACATCCAGGCACGTGAGCAGAAGCCAACCAAGAAATTATGTTGGTCATTTCTCCTTCTAAAATATGTGCACTTTCTATATATCCCTGCAACCTTGCAGTACTGTGCAAAAAGCTCTTGGAAAATGAGAGATAAGAGCAGTGAGTCATTGAAACATCTGCAAATGTATACTGTAGCATATAAAGTTAAATGATTTTTACCTTATATTACATCTCTGTTGAATGTTGGGAGCTTTTTAGTCCATTCTGCCAAGATGATCCCATACTGCTTGAGTTATGTTGAAGTCTGGGCTCTGGGAAGGCTCAGGCCATGACTGATAGAGCTCCACTGTGTTTTTTTGTTGTGCACGTATCCTTTTACTCTTTTACTGCAATAGCAGTGTGTTTGGCATCATTATGAAAAGTGAAGCCAGTGTCATGCAGATGCTTTTCGGCTGGTATTGCACAGTGCATTAGAATCTAAAAGTACTTTTCTTTATTCATAATTCCATCAGTTTTGACAGGATCCTCAGTATCACTGGCTGAAATGCTGCCTCAAACCATGAAAGAGCCTCCACTGTGTATTACAGTTAGGCATTGACAGTCATACCTCTGAGGATGATTTCAACCAATAAGTTTCAAACTTGTGTCTGATTTTTAGTTCTGTTCTCGTGTAATCAGGCCTTTGTAGACCTGATTACATGTCTTCTCACACAAAATGGAAACAATCAGGAAATGGCAACCAGGAAGTAAAGCTAATACAGGACACCACAGAAAATTAAATACAAAGTAAAAGAGGAAATAACCAGAACTGAGAAGGAAATACTGAAGGACCACCAAGACTAAAAACAGGACAAGCAGGCAGTGCTTGCCTTGTCAAATCTAAAAATAAACATCAAAAACCTACTAAAGTTAAAAAAAAAATCCTCTCCTTTCATGCTCTGTCATAAAACCTGTGCCTGTTTTCATCTATCTTTTACATCACTGCCATCTTGTGACTGTAGTTGGTTGTTGTCGATGGAAGCCGCTTGTTTTGGATTCCACTGGACACTGTAGTGGCTTCATTTCCCAGGCGTGTCTATCTCGCATTAATGATGGCCAGCAGCAGTTTATGGTTGTTTGTGCATTGTTGCAATGTGCCGCTGGCTCTACTTTTACTGCTCTGAGCCTCGCTTTGTGTGGAAACAGAGACAGGAATCACAATTAGAGTCTCTGTGATTCATTATTGGTAAAATATAAGTTTTACTTTACTTGACCACCTTGAATAATGTGTGATATAGAAAAGATGGAATGCAGTGTGAAAAAGTTTTCACTAACTTCTTCAGCATGTTAGCAAGGAAAACCTTGAAGATGATGAGGAGACCTCAACTACAGTTTAACAAAACAGGCAAGTTGAACAGTTGCAGGTTCAGCATGGCACTTTGAGATTATCATCTCTGAGAAATCACTTAATTGACCAAATGCTCATAGTACAAGAGTTCATGAGTATTTTAACCCCCCCTGTAGGTGCCGTCAGCTAACAGTTACACCTCCTGCTTGCCTGTTTAAAATTGGAGTCCTGCTGTAATACTTTGTCAAGGTTATTTATTTATTTTTTATTTTTTGTAATAAAGAAGCCATTCCACTGTATTATTGTAAGATACTATTTCATCAGTCTGAAATGAACTGGCTTCCTCAAAAGGCCTAGTTTACCTTTGGTTTAATGTAAAAGAATAATGCTGCTTGATCTTAGTGTCACTAAGGTTTCATTTGTAACTGCTATTGATACATTTAATTAGAATAACTTTTAAGTTTCTCACATTGGTATGTTTTCCATATAGCTGTCATACATGTTAGAGACTATGCTACAATACAAAAGAACAAGGCAGACTCACAGGGTACTAACTCTCTGGGGGTAGAAACAGGCCACAGGCAGTGCTGACCTACCATAGAGATACCATGTATGCCACACCCTTGCAGAAGATTGTTGCAATACCTCAGAGCATTACTGAAGTACAATGGTACCAAAACTTGCCCTGCAGGGTTGCCTTTTTACTGTTGAAACCCTGACTTCTTTTCCTGTCTAGGCATTGGCGTGGTATATAGCCTGCCCACATAACCTGATAAATTGAAATTACACAGACACCAGTACAATTAAACACTAAAAAACAAACAAATATTTGAACCAATGAAAAATAATGTTGTTTTTTTTAACAGAACAGAAGTGAAAATAAACTAAAGCTGCTCTTGAATATGAATGAAAATTGAAAACCAAAAATTATAAGAAAATAAATTACAAGAAAATAAAAATAAAACCAAACGTGACTAGCATGGCCTGCAGCTGCTTGATGCCTGACATCCTGGAATTACTTTTCATCAGTTTTAAGTTTGTGCTTTTGCAAACTCTCTGTATGTCATCACAACAGGAAATAATTTACAGAATCTGTTTGTGCTTCTGTGTATGTGTTCTCCGTCCTCTGCAGTGATACTGCTTAACACTGCACCATCTTCCTGCCTCCAGATTGGCTGTACCACACAGGTTGAGGGTTTGTGGACCAGTTATGTCTACTGCTGCACCCTTTCTCTGCAGGCAGGATGTGTTTTCTTTTTAACCCACATCCCTGGGGGATGCTTCACACTAGCTCTTTCCCCAACTGTCTGATGTCATGATGCAATAAATCTTGCTTGCATAGTAGTGTTTATACTGTGATCGGCAGAGCATGTGTTTAATGTTCAAGCACTTGAAATGCTTTTGTTAGGAGACTCATGTTTGTATATTCTATGCTATTTTGGTGCTTGTTTCCACTTTACACAAGTAGAGAACATGTTTTCTTTAAAATGTCAACATTAGAAATATATTTTTCCATGAGTAACATGGGAAAATGCAGGAATTCAATCAACATTTAACTGGTACACGGGTTTAAGAAAGAAGGTTCTTTTTTGAAAAGCTGTGTGATTTTTCTTGCTGTTTCTTACATGTTTCAGGTCACCACTGCTTTGTGTGCTGACTATGCTGGGTTAAGGTTAGTGTACAGGAACATGATTTGTTTGGCCTTAATGACTCCATTTGAAATCTGTGTCAGAGCACATACTGTTGAGAATAAATTATGTAAATTCCTAAATATTTGTTTTGTGTGCTGCATAATTTACACATGTAAAAAACTTCACAGAAGACTTTTTTTTGTTCACATTTTATTTATTTACTTTATTTATATTTTATTTAGTAAGATAAGAGATAAGATAAGAGCTCATGTAGATATTAAATAAAATATAAAGTGAGTCCACATCCATAAATAAGAGTTAGATTTATTTGTTTACATTGGCTGGCTAGGTGTTTTCAGGTAGTTCAGTTTTTGAAAATAAAATTCTGCATTTTTTTTTTACCTCTGTTTCTATTTTACAGTCAATCAAAGCACGCACCTATTAACAAATGTCAAATTTTCCTCTCTTTCTGAGCCCTCTGAGCTTTTATACACTAATGTGTTTCTGCTAAGCTAATCATTAATGATCATAAAAAAGGGAGGTTATATCACCCAGAGACAATTAAATCCGGCTCAGCTGTCCATGGAGTTTAGGCCCAGGCGAGCAACAATGTTGACACAAGGAGCAGACACAGATCAAGAGCCCACCAGGCCAACGTGGAGCAGACAGATAGAGTTCACTTTGGCCGGCATCGGCTGTGCTGTAGGTCTGGGCAATGTCTGGAGGTTCCCCTATCTTTGCTACCGGAGTGGAGGAGGTGAGAAATCAAACATTTGTTACATCTTCGAACAGAACTGTGGTAATGTGCCGCTCTCTGTAATCCCTGCACACACAGGACTAAAAATGGGGTCCAAAGGTTGACTGTATGTGTTGTGTTGTTAGTGAGTGTGATTTCAAACTATTTTTTTTATTTGATTTTTGTTTTGTTGCTGTTGTTTTTAATGAGGCATGGCGCTTCATAAACCCATACTATAATCTGGCTTTATACTTGCAAATTTTGCAGAATTGTTAATATTTGTATGGGGTCAAACTTTGCCTGACAGTAATTCATGTGTGCCAAAGTTAAAGTTTAAATGATGTCATAAAACTACCACAGTCTTGGCCTTCTTTCTGAAAATGTGCTTAACTCACTATTACTTCTTGGCAGGTGCCTTTCTGGTGCCATACCTGCTCATGCTGGTGGTGTTGGGCATCCCTCTGCTTTACATGGAGCTGACTGTGGGGCAGTACACAAGGAGAGGTCCTGTACTTGCTCTGGCTACTGTCTGCCCACTGTTAAAAGGTGCTTTGACTAAATTTTGGTGTCCAGTGTTAAAAATGTATAGCGGAGAAATTTATTTTGATGCATGTTTTATCTGACCTCAGGAGTGGGAATTGCATCGGTGGCCATCTCCTTCATTATGTGTACCTACTACAATGTCGTCATCACCTGGGCTCTCTATTACCTCTTCAGCTCCTTCCGGGCACCACTACCATGGCAAAACTGCAACAATACTTGGAACACACCTAACTGCACCAATCACGCTACCAACAGCAGCTACTCCTCCACAGCTAGCCAAGAGTTCTTCAAGTATGTTTCATTGGATGTGATCACTATTTCTGCAGATTATTAAATCCAACTAAATAATGACTGAGTTTGAGCAGCATTATAAAATTAAAGTAATTTTTAAAAAGACTGAACTGGTTACACAAGGTAACTTCTGGGGATTATGTCAGAGGTGAAACAAAAAAAAAACTTGATACAACAACAACTGTAACTGGATGTACAACCTATCAGAGTCACGTGAGAGCTATCGAAGTGAAGGTCACAGATAAGAAATGAGCAAACTGATAGAATATTTTACTGAAGTGTGATAAATCTTAAGACACATGTCACCTTTATTGGCTTTGATCTGTTTCACTTTCTAGTTTTAGCAAGGGAAAGATTCTCAGAAAGAACTTACTCACAGTGAAAATCTTGCAGTAAACAGCAGATTAAGACCTCACATTTTCAGATTTACTTATAAACTCATTAACTCATTTCACTCCAGTTAATGGATAAGCGTAGGAAAGGAATGTGGGTTCAAGTTACTTGAATCCATGTGTTTGTCAACCACTTATTAAATTTATGATCCAAAATCCTGCAGCTGACAGGAGCTAGAAACAGAGAACACATTTCTCCTGTGTTGGCTTCTCTTCACTGGCTCCTTGTTTATGTCACGGATCTGGATCATTTTGACACAGCTTTTTCAGTTTCTTATATTTTGGTATATTTCTGTATTATGATTCATGTTCTGGTTCTATTTTGATTATTATTCTAGATTTAGTTCAGTGTCAAGTCTGCATCTTTGTAAATTCTTTCTTGTTTCCTGTTTTACTTTGAAGGTTCATGTCTGATGTCAGTGTGTTCAGTTTTACTTGCCCCCTGTTTCTTTAGCTCAAATCTCTCCCAGCTGTGTCTCCCTCCTGTTTCCCATTCCCTGATTACTCCCTTTGTATATAAGCCCTGTGTTTTCCTTTGCTCTCTGTTGTGTCGTTAACGGCTGCTCACCCTCATTTTCACTGTGTGTTCCGTTTTCTCGTTTGCCTGCCTGTTAGTTTATTTGTTTTCCCAGTGTAGTTCGTTTTCTGTGCTAAACCGAGTATCTTAAGTTCACCTCTGCCTCCGTGAGTCCTGCGTTTGGGTCCAATCCAGTCTGCCTGACAGCACACAGTCATGACAGTTTAATCTGCAATTTAATTCAAAACTGTCTCCTAATATACAAGGTCTTGAATAATCAGGCAAAAGTGCGCTTTGCTCTCAGACGGCTAATTTACTTGTGGTTCCTATTTATTTAAAAGTATTTGCATATGTGCATTGGAGTATTCAAAAGTAGAATGTGAAGCAGAGCCTTCAGCTTTCAGGCCCCTCTTCTGTGGAACCAGCTCCCAATTTGGATTTGGGAGACAGACACCCGCTCTACTTTTAAGATTAAGCTTAAAATTTTCCATATTGATCAAATTTATACTTATGGCTGGATCAGGTGACCCTGCACCCTCCCTTACCTATGCTGCAATACGCCTAGGTTGCTATTGGCTTTCCATGGTGCACTAAATGTTTCTTCTTCACTCACTCATTGTGTGTTTATACACCATCCTTCATTTAATGATTACTTATTGTTAAACTGTGACTCTCTTCTACACTGATTCTTCTGTTCTGTCTCCCTTCCCTCAAAACCGGTCGTTGCAGATGGCCACTCCTCCCTGAGCCTTGTTCGGGAGTTTTTTTTCCCCACTGTTGCCAAGTGCCTCCTCTCATCTGATGAGTCCATGTTAAGTGAATGGAACTGAATTGAATGTGTGTTTCAGTTGTACTATGCAGTATTGCTCATTCTACAGGAAAGTAACTTGTGAGATAAAAGTATAAAAGTGTACAAGTAGGAAAAATATTCACATGCATGAAAATCAAACCCATATTGTTTAATCTCTGAATGTAGACTTTTCCACATGAATGCACATCTATTCAATTCAATTTTCAATTCAATTTTATTTATATAGCGCCAAATCACAACATAAGTCGCCTCAAGGCGCTTCATAGATACAGAGAAAAACCCAACAATCATATGACCCCCTATGAGCAAGCACTTTGGCAACAGTGCCTACCTTTTGTAGAGAAATAAAAAACTGTTCTGAAGATACATACTTATAGTGGATATCAAATTAACTTGTATGGTTAAAAAGCAAGAAACTGCAAACACTGAATCAGATATGTCAAAAGGTCTATTTTAATGACTTCCTGACATCTGATTGGATTGAATGTTTTTTCACAACAGGACAGACAGTGTTTTTGAATCTGACCCATGTGTTTAGCTTTAAGGCATGCCTTTGGGCACTCAGAATATTAATGTTTTTCTAATTTCTTTTACTGTGGCACCTTTCAGATATAAGATGCTAGAGCAGACTAGTGGAGTAGAGGATACAGGAGTGCTCCGGTGGGATCTTTTCCTCATTCTCATTCTGGCCTGGATCCTCATTTACTTTTGCATCTTTAAGGGGGTGAAATCAACAGGCAAGGTGAGAGAGAAACTGAGACCTGAGCAAAAAAAGAAGAAAAAGAAAGAAAGAAAGTGGAGCACTGGACCACAGTTAATACCATATATACGTTTTCTGTGTGCAGGTGGTGTACTTTACTGCCCTGTTCCCGTATGTTATTCTGATTGCCCTGCTGATCAATAATGCACAGCTTCCTGGAGCATTAGAGGGGATAAAGTTCTTCATTGTGCCTGTGTGGGATGAGCTGCTCTCAGTAGAGGTAAGAAACAAGAGAAGAAATGAGTAGTAGCTTTGGAGGAGTACCCTAACTGTTCTAGCAGCGGGGAGAGTCGTGTTATTACTGATAATCTGTGTTGGTACTGATTAGCAGTGGTCTGTGTTTCAGGTGTGGGTGAATGCTGCGGCTCAAATCTTTAACTCCATTGGGATTGGTTTTGGCTCGCTCATGGCAATGTCCAGCTACAATGACTTCAACAACAACATTTTGAAGTAAATGTTTGACCGCCAGTTCTTGAAAATAGCTGTGATTTCTTGTTAGTGATTTAAAAGATGTCTTGTCTCCCCACAGGGACACACTGAGCATATCCATTATCAACTCCATAACCAGCATCCTGGCAGGGTTTGTCATTTTCTCTGCCTTTGGGTATATGTCATACCTGCAGGGCATTCCTGTCAGTGATCTGGCTGTGGATGGTAAGAAAAAAAAGGGATGACTGTTTGTGAGTGATTTTTTTTTTTTTAAATTAGTGAGTGAGTCTATTCTCAAAGGATCTATCCTCCACTTTGCCTAATGTCAGATGGGAATAAGTGATAAGAAAATACACTGCTCAAAAAAAATGAAAGGAACACTATGAAAACACATCCAACCTCAATGGGAAAAAAAAGAAATTATGCTAGATATCGATACTGATATGGACTGGGTAATGTGTTAGGAATGAAAAGATTCCACATTGTTCAGTTGAAGGGAAAGTTATCAACCCACAGAGGGCAGAATTTAACACAACACAGCAAACCTGCTGGAAATGGTACGCATTGATGTGCCGTCCTGCAGCAGACACCTCAGTAGGGTGCAGGCATTGCCTCATGCGACCTGCAGTGACACTGACCCGAGCCAAATAGAAAAGGGGGGGGGGGAATCAGTGAGAAAATATAAGGAGGTAGAAAAACCTCAGTGGCCTCCAACTGTAACACCAACCTGTTTTGGGGGGTTTTCTCATTGTTGCCCATCTAGTGCATCTGTTGTTAATTTCAGTTATACCGAAGCAGCTGAAGCTGATTAACACCCCCTCTGACTCTTATATAATCTCTCAGAAGTTTAATTAACCACATTTTATGATTCTGTACTCTGATTAAAAAGTGTTCATTGATTTTTTATTTTTTTATTTTTTTTGAGCAGTGTAGGTGAATGGGGACATAAAGTAGGGTTGGAGCTGAAGAAGGATTGTCTTGTCTTTACAGATTATTGATCTGGACAATATGTTACAATAATATTGCAATAATGTTACAGTAACACAAATTTGATTGAAATATTTTTATAAAGTCACAGTCATCTGTTATTAAGAAGAATTGCTTGTTCAGTTATAAATGCTGCTCTGACATCTTACGTGTCTTATTGTACAGGTCCAGGACTAGTTTTTGTTGTTTACCCGCAAGCCTTTGCCAACATGCCAGTGGCTCAGCTCTGGGCAGTGTTGTTCTTCTTTATGCTGCTTTGCCTCGGACTGGACAGTGAGGTACTTTACTGGTAACCTCAGGATGGGAATTCATGTTTGCATAGTGTTTCATAACGAAATTCTTATGTCCCACGCCCACACTGCAGTTTGCAATGGTTGAAGTGATGGTCACCAGCCTCATGGATCAATTCTACAAAGACGTGATTCACATTTTCAAGAAAAAGGAACTGTTTGTTCTTGCGGTTTGTTTCGTAGCCTGCCTCTTTGGAATTCCTTGTGTCATGCAGGTACAAACTGTATTTCCTGCTTGAATTTGAACCAAATAAAAAAGATATTGAAGGGTGCTCATTTTCCCTTCCTTGCTGTCCTAAAGAGTATGCCTTTGTCCAGGTGGGAATCTATGTTTTCCAGCTGATGGATCATTACACTGCCATAGTATCCATCATGTTTCTGGCATTCTTTGAGGTCATGGCCACCTGTTGGATTTATGGTGAGAGACATGTGTTTCATTCATTGCACACTTAGAATGATGTAGCACTTTTTTTGGCAGTATCTTAACACATTTTATGGCCATGTGTAGTATCCGAGTTTCACTCTAATCAAACAGCGATTAGAGTCTCTAATCTGCCAGCATGCAAATAAAATGTGCACAGATGTTTATTGACAAGTAAAGGTTGGTCCAAAGTACTTCTCCATCTGCAGGTGTAAAAAGACTTTCAGCCAACCTGGAGGAGATGAATGGACACAAAGCAAACATCTTCTTCAGACTGTGTTGGCTTATAGTTGCTCCTGTGCTCATCACTGTATGTTAACAGGCATTTGTTTTATTCACATGAATATAATGTAGATTTTCATCTGAAATAATTAAAACTTAAATCCAAACTTAAATTGTTTGCTCCTTGATACAGGTCATCCTGATTTTCTCCATCATTCAATTCAAACCTGCCCGCTATGGGGAGTACGTCTTCCCTCCCTGGGGTCAGGGGGTCGGCTGGATCATTGCTTTGGCCTCCATCATCTGGATTCCTCTGGGTGCCATTCACACTTTGTGGGTGCTGCCTGGCTCCATCATGGAGGTGATGTACATATCATATGCATAGACACTATGTTGCCAGAAGTATTCACTCACCCATCCAAATCATTCAATTAAGGTCTTCCAATCACTTTCATGGCCACAAGTGTATACAATCACACACCTAGGTGTGCAGGCTGCTTCTGCGAACATTTGTGAAAGAATGGATCACTCTCAGGAGCACCATGAATTCCAGTGTGGTACTGTGACAGGATGCCACCCATGCAGTGAGTCCGGTCTTAAAGCTGTTAGTGGTCTTACAACAAAATGGAAGCAATTGGGAACGACAGCAACAAGTAGTAGGCAGTGTAAACTCACAGAGTGGTGTCAGTGGATGCGCTGAGGCACATAGTTCACAGAGGTCACCAACTTTCAGTAGAGTCAGGAGAACACCACTTGTCTGACTGCATTGCACCAAGCATACAGTTTGGTGGATAATTGTGTGGGGTACTTTTCAAGAGTTGGGCTTGGCCCTTGAGTTCCAGCGATAGGAACTCTTAATGCTTCAGCATACCAAGACATTTTGGACAATTTCATGCTCACAATTTTAGGGGTGGCCCCTTCCTGTTCCAACATGCCTGCATATACAAAGTAAGGTCCATAAAGACATGGATGAGTGAGTTTGGTGTGGGAGAACTTGACTGGCCTGCATAGAGTCCTGACCCTAATAGAACAGCATTGAAATTGAAAACTAGAGCGGAGATTGTCAGCTGGGCCTGCTCGTCCATCATCAGCATCTGACCTCACAAATGTGCTTCTGGAAAAATGGCCAAAAAATTCCCATAAACATTCCTTGTGGAAAGCCTTTCCAGAAGAGTTGAAGCTGTTATATCTTTACATTAAACCCTATGGATTAAGAATGGGATGTCACTCGGTTCAAATATGTCTGAAGTCAGACGAGTAAATATTTTTAGCAATATAGTGTAGTACTCACGCACATGTTCATATATAATCAAGCTGTGTGGAAAAATTTTTACTCCATTTCTTGTGCAGAAATTAAAGCTGTCCCTCACACCGTATGCGCTGAATGAAAAGTCAAACATGCCGTACTATGAGAGGGGAGGACCAGGTGGAAATCCACCCATCGCTGTCATCAGCCCCAGCTTCGATCTACCTGAAAAGCATCCTGCTGAGACGTACTTCTGATGCCTCAGTGTTTTGCAGGCCACCTACAGTGGCAGATTACTGTTAAGCTTTAACTAATCACAGATTTATGTCTTCAATCTTTGTCAATTTTCTGGTCAAATTTAACCAACACGTGTTACAAGAATGTACATGATTGTGATCCATATCTACTATGCAGAGCATTTAATGCAACAGGATTTTTTTTTTCTGGAAAGACGTTGTTTAGAATTAGCTGTCACTGTGTGTATCTTCAGTGTACTTCTTTGTGAAAGAGCTCCAAAGGGCAAAGGAGTAGACTTCGCACATTTCACTGCCCTCGTTTATGGAAACTTTGCTAACAGTGCCATCTTTTGGCCACATGAATTCAAACATGAGCCATACTTACATTGTAATGTACTGTCATTTTAAATTTACAGTATTTATAGTAACATTTTTCTAGTGATCAACTTAAACCATTGTCAGCTTATTATTGCAGACTCATATGTGAATGGACACCAAAAAAAGATTCAATATGTCAGGTGTAATAAAAGCAGTTTCAACATCTACAGAAAACAGAAACATAACTACTTATGGGCGACTTTTTATTTATTCATTTAATGAGAAAGTTCCAACAGAAGGGTACATGGTTCTAGTAATACACGTGCACAGAGTTAGTTTCCTCCACTACAGAATTTTCCAGTGTGTCCTTCTTGTAACTCCTCAGAAATGAATACAAAGTGCAGAACATCTGAAGTTATACAGGCAAAAAAGGGAGATGCCCCTATGCTTCACATACAAAGGGTTTCTCTCCTTATGAATGGAATATGCTGAATATGAATGTGTTTGGAATGAACGTGTTAAATATGTTTGTGAAAACATAAAGGTAGTAAGGGTGGCAGGATGCACAGACTGCTTATGGTTACTGTTGGTATGACTTACTTAGCCTTGTCTAGCTTTTAGTTAATGTGAGCCCACATCTATCTCTAATCAAAAGTTAAAATATTTATTAGAAAAATGAAATGGAAAAAAACTTGTCTCTTATAAACAGCAATTACCAATTTTCAATTTCATTTCAAAAAGATATGTCATATAAACTACAAAAAAAACAAACAAATGGAAAAAGAAATAAAATCGTGCAATCAATGGCATACGCTTCCCTCTGAAGTGATGGCCAAGCAGATGACCACACAACACAGCAGCAACTCTCTCTATTTGTTCCTATTGTAGTCTGGATTTGGCTCAGTTCAGCCCTGAGCCCAACAATTCACACATGCCACTTTGCTGCACTCAGTAGTATTTTTGTAGTGTTTTCCAAAGTCCATGCCCTTCATTTTGTTGCACAGCTTCCTTAAGCCTTCTGCCTTTGTTGACCACCGCCCCTGCAGACCTGACACAGCTGTAGTTGATTTTTTAATACCATCCCACCCCCCACAATCTTTGCACAGCAGAGGCTGCTAAGGAGTCACCGTGGTGCTGTCTGTCTGCTCCTCCTGCAGCTCACTCTTCTGCTGCTATGACACCTGCTCCACTGGCCTCATCTGCACATCTCCGATCTGAAGATAGAAAACACTCAGGAATCAGCTACCACTCAACTACAAGTCAGTACTGTAACAGTCCCAGACAGACAGAAATACCTGGACGTGAGGAGGGGCGCTGAGGACAAATGTGACTGCACTGGCTATGTCTTCTGCTTTCAAACACTGCAAAGCAGAGGGAAAAGGTTTTATTAGCACAACAGCAGATCGATAATTTCACATTTGTTGACTTCAGTGATGTGCACAGCCTTACTTTCATACTCTCGTACACTGAAGCTGCCTTTTCTGGATCGCTGTTGTGGTGTCGGAAGGCAAACTCCGTCTCCACTATTCCAGGAGATATACACTGCAGGGCAGGAAAATGAATGACAAATGTGCTCTTTACATACAGGGTCATGGTGTCTACAAATATGAAGACGTCAAAATGAAAACTTTTAAAGATACCACATATACAATAAATACGACTCTTCATAATTAAACACATGTGTGTGAGTTAAAAATGAACAGCAGGGTCAAATCAAGTATCTGATTGAACTTCAAAACATGCTTTCAAACGCATTTTATAGAAGTGAAGACAAAACAAAATTATGATTGTTACACGTTCAACATACTGTGCAGTTTATTTTTACAAGCATTTCCAGGCATTTGTGACTGGAATCGTCCCGACTTTGCAGACTAACGAGAAAGTGGGCTAGCGAGCCCATCATCATCGTCATCCTCAGTGTTTCCATGGGAGTACATTTAACAGCGAGCGATCGTAGCTCAGGAGTTGGCAGTTTGTCTTGTAATCGGAAGGTTGCCGGTTTGAGCCCCGGCTTAGCCAGTCTCGGTCATTGTGTCCTTGGGCAAGACACTTCACCTACCGCCTACTGGTGATGGCCAGAGGGGCCGATGGTGCGATATGGCAGCCTCGCTTCTGTCAGTCTGCCCCAAGGCCGCTGTGGCTACAACTGTAGCTTGCCTCCACCAGTGTGTGAATGAATAGGGGAAGAGGGTCTCGAAAAGCGCTATATAAATGCAATCCATTATTATTAACAAACATTACAGACTCATCCAAACTGAATTCAACACAGTATCAGATTTTTTAAAGGCTTTTTAGGCTTAACACTCCCACTTTATGCTGGACTACGTCTGTGTTGTCTGCTCGGAGTCCTCTTCACACTGTTGGATTTTATGTGATCCCATGTTTCACTAAGCTAAAGACAAACCTTTGCACTATAATGCAACGACTAACTCACTGTGGCTCTGATGTGGGTGTTTGCCTCTCGAAGCTCTTGCCGTATTCCCTCAGTCAGAGCAGTCACAGCATATTTAGTGGCACAGTAGAAGTGCTCATCGGCACTTGGCACCACTCGGTGCCCACCCATACTGTAGAAAATGAGAAAGATGAGAAAGATATATGAGCCGGTAATTGCTTTTTGTAGCTCAACGCTGATTCAACACCAAGTAGCCAATCCTCTGAATTTCCTGTGGTGTTCTTTTAAATGACTTAACCAGTGCATTATTAGATTTCAAACTCTGTATCACTTAATATCAGATATCTCTATAGCCTTAAAACACTCACAGAGCTATAGCTCTAAACAACATTTGTGTCAAAGTTTAAATTCCCATTTTTAATTAAGGCAATTCTAAGAAAACCTATATTGATAAAAATAAATGCTAATATAACAAATCTATAAACAGTGTTCTTTGCATTGCTCTACATCCAAAATGTGCCAGATGGGGCTTAAAATTGGCTTTACTTAATGCCTGCAGGATTAAAATCACCCAGAACAAACTGGCTGAGGTATTTTCACATTAATCTATAGCTTTGTTCCTAGAATTGTATGTTCCTTGTATAGCTTACCTATTAATATTGATGATGTGGCCATCATCCACATTCCTCTCCTTCATTGATTTGTACGCCTCACGGGTGCAGATGGACAAGGCTAAGACATTCACCTGCAGCAGAGGTGAACACAGCACATTTCTTTAACTTTAAAATAACCTACAGTATGCATGTATTCACACATCGGTGTATGAACCATTCAGCTACAACTTAAAAAAAGAAAAGAAAAAAAAAAAGACAGAAAATGAGAATCATTTGTGAGATTTGCTTGTACTTTATTGTAAAGAATTTCCAATGATGAAAGCTGGCTAATGTTCACTGGGTCAGTGTGTTAAACCATCTGAACCTGCTGCTCCTGTCCAGCTTGTAGCCTCCAAACTGCTTCCGTAGTGACATTGAGAGAGAGCAGGTTACCATGAGTGTGCAAGCGAGATAGGGGGAGGTGACCAAACAAGGTCAGTGTGCAGATTAAATACAGGCTAAAAATACACTGCTGTACACGTTCAAGTGGGCTGCCATGACAACAGATGAGCAAGAGCCAGAAATGCTGGACTCTGGAGACAGAGTTGGGTGCAGGGGGGTCTCCAGTGGTCAAGAGCTCAATGAATCAAAAGTCTCAACAAGAGACATAGTGCTGGCTTTCATTAGCAGGCCTCTGCTGTGCCAGAGTCTCTCCCCAGAGCCAATGAAGCGGCCTTTGTGAGGGGAGGGAGCAGTGTGTATGTGTGCTTTTACTCACTGAACAACACAAAAACAAGACTTGGACTCATAGTGAGCAACCTCCTCCTTCTGCTTCACTGTTTAATAGTAGTAATCAATATCACATAAGAGGAAGCTCTAACCTTCCCTTTTTTGCGTTAATATTATTGTCAGCGATCCAACTCACATCGATCATGTTCCTCCAGCCCTCTGTCCTGCCACTGAGCAAAGGCTCATTGTGGGCCAGTCCAGCATTGTTGATGCATACGTCAACGCCCTTGTGCAGTGTCTTGATTGCTGAGAACATGGACAAGATCTCCTCTTCATTGGACAGGTCACATTTGTAAGGGATCAGCGTGCCGCTGTAGCCCGCACTCTGACATTCTGCTGCCAGCTTCTGAAAAAGATAAATCACACCCAGTTTGACTGCACTGATATATTTGTTAAAGAATAATCACTACAAAATGTCAAGTGCTGTTAATGACCAACTGATTAACTTTCAAGACCACGATTAAGATTACATCAAACAACCCACCCACTCAGGAGAGCGTGGAGAACGCACAGCACAGCACCAAAAAACTAGATAGTCTGTCAGTCAAACCACCCAATGGTTCCCCCACTCAATTATAAAAAGCATATTAACCGAAATTCCGCTTTTGACCAAAATCATAATCATGACCCCTCATAAGAAGACACCAGCTTTGCACTGATACGGACAGGCTGAGCTCGCTACAGGTCGAGCAGGCTGCACTCTAACCAGGTCAGCTGGCTGTCCACCACTATCGGCGTACGATACAAACTGACACAGATCCCCCTGCTAGGCACAGCTGTGCCAGTCACCTGATGCAGAGGCAGCAGGGGTGTGGGGGGCAGGTGGAACACCAAAATGATGCACAGCACTATAATGTCAAGGATAAAATGTTTCAAACTGCACTGGTGTTAGAATTTGTCATAGACTGCATATAAACGACAAACACTGCGAGTCACCTCACAGAAGCCAGGAATTACCATATTTGAACAAGAGGGTGGAGTGCCAAGTTATTAACCAACGCTAGCTGGCTTGGTTAGAAAGATACCTTGATAAACTGTTACAGGTTTATCATACAGGTATAGTAGGTATCTACTAATAAGTGCTAAATGACATACACTATAATACAGACTGGAAACCTGTCCAGGGTGTACTCTTTCTCTAACCATCCTAGCTAGCTTGGTTAGCAATTGTAGTATCCATGACAGGAACTCACTGATGTGAACAATCAACAGTAAATGTTGGTTTTGGTCTCAATCCCACATAAGA